ATATATTTTAAACAACTTGCATTAATCATAACTTTGCCAACAGTTATGGTTGTTAACTCCACCTACATTTAATTTTAACTTCGTCTAAACTCAGTTGTTCTTGGAAGGCCTTAGGCTTTAGGCTTTTGTTAACACTTTAAATAATCCACATCATACAGAGCAAAGAGCACAGCAGGATAATCGGAGGTGACGCTGCATAAAAATTAAAAGCAGGATTAAGTTCTAAAACTATTTGCCATACTTTAAAGCTCATATCGAGCAATCTTTTCTAGCAAGAAAGAGCAAAATCAGAGAACTAGTCCACTGATAAACTCAGTGTGTAGATTGTTGCACACCATACAGATCTGACTATTTCGGCATTCCGTTCAGAATAAAGCCTTGGCATAAATACATGTACTACGTTAGGCTTAACACACATCCTCAATGTGCCAAGTGCCTTTGGCAGCAGGATTCTCTGGGGATGCTTTTCTTTAGCAGGTACAAGATGCGTGTCAAGAGTTGAAAAGTTGAACAGATGAGGTTATGTACTTGGAAATCCTGGAGGAAGAAAGGATAACCTTCAACAAACCTAGAGTCAGAGCAATAATGGAATGGTTAGGATCAAAAGAGGCTCCTGTTTTAGAGTCACGGCCTAAAACCATTTATTCTATGACAAGATCCTAAAAATGTTCCTTTAGAAACTCCATCCGATATGATTGAGCATGAGCTAAAATGCAATGATGGTTTGGCAAAAAACAGTCTTTAGCTGTCAAAGTTGTGCATATACCGTACATAAACTTACAGAACTAATAGTGCAGCATAAATTGGTCTTGAAGGTATGCAAATAAACCTTTTTGGTTATTAAAAAAAAAAAATACTCACATTATAAAAGCCAGAAAAAAAACGTGGTTATAGGAGGAAAAAATGTGGAAAAGTTTAATGTGTCATTCTCAGCAAATGTCTGACTCTCTTCCTCTGCAGCATAGAATTATCTGTTCCAGCACAATGCCAGAGGGTCCTGAACTCCACTTGGCCAGCCTGTATGTTAACAAGATGTGTGAAGGAGTGGTCTTCAGTGGACCAGTTGTAAAATCTGAGGTCAGCAAAAGCCCTGATGTGTCCTTCAACTGTGAGTCGTACCGCATCACAGCTTCTTCGAGAGGAAAGGAAGTCAAGCTCACACTAACACCAATTAAGAGTGACGATGATGGAAAGCGGCGATCGAAGGTCACACAAACAGATCAACCCATGGACATAGTCTTTCGTTTTGGGATGTCTGGTTACTTCCGCTTTACCTCAGAGGATGAGGTGCCAAAACACGGCCATCTCCGTTTCTATACCAAGGAAAAGCCTTGCAGGGTACTGAGTTTTGTAGACGCACGCAGGTTTGGCAGCTGGCAGCCCAACGGAACCTGGCAGCCTGACAGAGGGCCTTGCATCATGTTTGAATACAAAAGCTTCAGGTCTGTAATAGGGCTGCAACTAACGATTATTTTAAAAATCGATGAATCTGCGGATTATTTTTTTGATTAATCGATGAATCGGACAAAAA